GTTTTTCAGCAGAACACTCTTGAGCTAGGCAGTGAGAATAGCGCCACTAAGCTTCTGCTTCAGAACTGCTTGGCTGAGCTATGGATTTATCACATCATTCTTCTTTTTCCTGTATGTTAGTGCCATGTTAGGTCTAGTTGGTGTGATTTGATAGGTTATTTTTTTGGGGTCTGAGAATGCTAAAAATTATTGCCATGTAAATTAATGGTAACTTTGTCTTCATTTACGGCCATGTCAACTTATATAAAGTTCCATACCCTTGCTGTACTTGTGGCCAGTGAGGGAAGCCTGTATCTTTGCTACTTTGCTTCAGGAACTCAATTTGCAGTCACCACCACAGAGAGAGTTCTGCACAGATTTTGCTGCTGGACAAAGTTGGGAAGGGGGAGATTTCTGATCAGTTGAGCCTAAGTTGTGGGCCTGTGTTCTAACTCCAAGGGAAGAAGGAAAAGCCATATTTTTAGTTTCCAAGTGGTAGTTGGGCTGTGCCTGAACAAGAATTTTAGAAGCATAGTGAAAAGTTTCAGATACTGAGTGGCTAAAAAGAAGGCTAAATATCAACTATAAATGCTTCCTGTGGGGTATGCCAATTATTTCTTCCTTTGCTAAGTCATGTTTTGTTTTTTTTTAAAAAAGATTTATTTATTTATTTATTTATTTATTTATTTATTTATTTATTTATTTATACAAGCACTGGGCACAGTCAGAAGCGCGGGAGGGTGAGAGAATTCACCAGAGCCAGAGGGGAGAGCAGAGCAGGCAGACTGATGAAGTACATTGCTGAGGGGAGCAGCGGGCGGCAGGAGAGGTCTGTGTGCCATGTGGGACCCTCACCCGGTGACCGGGGATCGAACTAGCGCTGCAGAGGCTGCGGGCAGCTTCGCAACCCAGCTCAACCGCTGCGCCACCGGGGAGGCCCTAAGTCATGTGTTTTTTTTGCATTGCACTTATATTTTATATGTAGCACTTACTTACATACATGTCCTACTCCCAACCTAATAAGGAGATTATGATGCATTTATCTTTGCATTTCTCTAGTAGCCAGTGAAGTACTTACTTTATAGATAGATGACAAGAATTCTGGATAGTAATTAATATTTGTTGAGAACCTCCTATTGAGGTATGCTGTGAATAAATTTAAATCAATTAAATATGATTAGCGTGGCTTCTATCTAAAATAGTCTGAGCTGAAAATTCTTTAACCTAGAGTTCTCACATAATGTTTAATAAATCAAGCCTTGATACTACCAATCTTGAAATTCTGAAGATTAAACTATAATTTTAGTGAATATTCCTAAAGCAGGTCTCTCACTCACACTTTAGTTTCACCAGGATAAGTGATTAGAACTATGTTAATAACAATAAAACAACTATTTATACAGCTTCTTCTTCTAATGCCTTACTTTATATCACATTTATTCTTTTCAAGTGGAAGAGAATATATCTAATTTTTAGTGTTTAACTTCAGTTTGATAATATACTTAAACATGGGTACCGAGTGAAAAATGAGGTTGCTAAAGGTTAATGTTTTAACGCTTTTAATAACTACTAGTGTCACATCTGCATTTTGTCAAAATGATACAAATTCCCTGTGGCAGGACTCAGCAGAGCAGCTAACAAATGAATTACTTGAGTTAGTGGGAAAAAAAAAAAAGACAAGAAAGAACAACTATCTTCCTCTATAGGCAATTTTAAATATACCCATTCTCTCTCTGGCATTAATAAAAAGAGAAATATCAAGTAATCATAAACACGACATTAAAATGTGAAAAATTTGTAATTCTTATAGTTGAGCTTGAGCTGATCTGCCATGTGTTCTTATACAAAAAGATGGATTTAAAAAAAAAAACAACAAACAGGGCCTCCCCAGGTGGTGCAGCGGTTGAGCACTGGGTTGCAAAGCTGCCCGCAGCCTCTGCAGCACCGGTTTGATCCCTGGCTGCCGGCGAGGGTCCCACATGGCACACAGACCCCTCCTGCCGCCCGCTGCTCCCCTCTGCAGTGTACTTCATCAGTCTGTCTGTTCTGCTCCCCACTCTGGCTCTGGTGAATTCTCTCACCCTCCCGTGCTTCTGACTGTACCCAGTGCTTGTATAAATAAATAAATATTTTCTTTTTTAAAAAAGCCAAAAAACAACAAACAAACAAAAACAGTCCACACAGATCATGCACATTTCCATAATACTACATCAAATATAATATTGAATAAACAAAAGCAGAAGTAAAGTGAAAAGAAGTCTTAGAGTATTTAATTTTGTATTTCAAGATGCATATGTACAAAATATCTAAAAGTCTAAAATCAATGGTTTCATCAAATTTTTAGGTAGAGCTCAGTGTTATAGATGCTGATTTCTAAATTCTCCCCAAGATTTAGTTCTTTAATGCATACACAGAAGACTCACCTAGTCATTTAAACCACACATTTTCTCCACCCATCCCCTCTTAGAATAAGAACCCTTCATGGGTACTCACATACATTTGCCACTCTGGAGAAAAAGTAATATTTTTTCCTGCATATTTTTACTAGTATCATGGAAAGATATTAAACGTATTATTTCCCAATCTTTCTAGATAGAAAAATTGTAACTAGAACATTTTAGAAAAATTTCCTACCCTTCATGTTGAGATTGCTGTAAGATTTAATTTCTTCATTTGTTATTATATTAATATGACTTAAAAGTGTATAGTATTCTGCAAGAGCTGAATAAAGAAACTTCTCAAGAAGTTACTGCTATCAGGGACCATGCATTTTTTAATGATTACTTCATAAACTTATGCTAATCAATAAGATTTTGAAAATATATTGCTATAAGTAGGTAGAAAGTATCCTGCCATTGTCTGTACAGATGACCTTATTCTAACAGAGCTCACTATATTATTATACTAGAAACAACATAAAGTAAATAAGAAAATATTTTAGAAAAAGTATTAACTTTAGTTCATTTATTGAGTATCTTTCATGTATTAAACACCAGGGAAAATGTGCATGGTCTTTGCTTATATGTTAAACATCATTAATTGGTTAGGAAAATACAAATGAAAGCAATTATACCCAGTGAGATAAAGCATTAATAGGTATATAAACAAAGTGTCAATTACTGGTTTTCAGTTTTCCTCCTACAAAATGAGAATAAACAAATGTTGAATTCAAAACAGAAGATGTGAGATAATGAACTCCTGAATTGAGTATTCTGGAGTTCTTGAAAGCTAGAGGCATTATTTTATTACATCTTTACCTCTGGATAGTTAGCTCAGTTAGTTAGCATAGCACTTATACTATATTCATGCATTTTTTATTCAGTCATAGAAGAAATAGTTACTAAGCATCTGCTATGAGCCAGAACCTGCGAAGGTCATTGAGAAGATAAATAGGGAAGAAGATTGCCACAGACCAAGAGTCGAATGAAATAGTAATGAGAAAAAGATCATGGATTATATCACCCTATGATCCTATTTCTGTTCCATAGCTACAGATTGATCCTGTAGTCAGCAAAGCACAATTGTGAATGAGGAAATTTATGATCTGCTATTATCATAATTTATGTACATAAAACCACACCTCATTATTATTTCTTATATTCTGAATTAGCATTTTAGTTTTTTTACCTTACTTTTTCTAAGTTAATAAAATTCTAGACTTGTCAAAAATGAAGATTTGGGGAGAAAGGATTGTAACAGTGATACCAGAAGCTGAGTCCCAGCCACTAGACCACCAGGGAGCCATTCCTGCCTGGGAAACTAGGCCTGAAAACCTACAATTCCGTTATCAAAAGTGGAACATATTTTCCTATAAATCACTTAAAACTTTGTGACATTCTCATTAAATCCCAGTAAAACAATCTTAAATTAAAAATTTAAGTCTTATTTTGTTTTGGGACACATAAACTGATAATTTTGTTTACACAGTCTCATAAATATCTTAAAACTATCTACCCTGCTCTTTTTCACGGTCAACTAAAAATTAACTAGAATAGAAAATATTTTCTCTAAGGGTGGTTGGATTAAGAATCTGATTTTTATAATTTATGGATATAAATAAGCAACCAAAACTCAACTTTCTCACCACAATGGATAAGAAGCATTGTCAAAATAGTTACTCTTGTATAAAATATTTCAGATAACTATGCCAAAGAAATGCTGTAGGTCTTCAGGATTCTTTCATTATAAATGGAAAACAACAATAAAATTACTAGAAAACTCCTATAATTATTTGCAGTAGCTTTTAAAGAGCTGTTCCTTGGCTCATATTCTATTCTTTGTTTAAATTTTTGTTTGACAAGCATTTTATAAATGATAGGAGGAGGTGGTTTCTGTTTCATTAATGAAGCTGATAGTGGTTAATTACTAAAGTGCAATAAACAGTTCAAACCAGATCAAGAAGAAAAAGCCAATTAAGTAGAAATTATCCAGCTGTACTAAAGACGATTTCCTTTTACTATTGAAAACCTCAAAAATGTTTTAAAACACTTGAGAAAATAAAACAACCAAACCAGTTACCTTATAATTTTATTTCTTGCTGTTTCAGTTTGGAATTAAAAGCCACATCTAGTTTAGTTTTCGAATTCAGTGAAATAGCTTCAAAACACAAAATGGAATTTACTTGATCTTAACACGAAATGAAAATCAATACAACTTTAAGAGACATTCTTTTTGGTTGCTTAGTATGAACTAAAACTATAGAGTCTGGCTTTTCTTGTTTTTAAATTGAGATGAGATTCCTGTAACATAAAATTAACTTTTTAAAGTGAGCATTTCAGTGGTATTTACTATATTCACAGTATTGTGCAACTACCACCTCTGGTGGAATTTTCCTCACCCTAAAAGGAAATCCCAGACCCCTTTAAGCTTGGAGGTGACACAGCAGGGAGTATATTCTCCAGGTATAACCGTGTGATATCCATAGAAAGGGGAAGTTTCAGGTGCCCTGCCCCACCCAAGGAAGGGTAGAGCCGAGGGATAAAAAGAGCAAAGAGAGGAAGCAGAAACAAGCAAGAGAAGAAGGGAGAGAGATGGAGCAGAGAGTCATGTGAAGAAGCCTCGCTTACTTCTTGGCCTTGGATTTGTACAGGGACTTGGAGGACGTGGAAAGAGACACTTGAAGGAGGCAGAGACTTGGGTGAGAGAACTGTGGGGAAGCTGACAATGGCAGACTTTATCTTGACCTGTATTTTGATTTTGTTCCTTTGATCCCAGACAAGCTGGGCCCCTTCTGCCCCTTTGCTACAGGTCCTCACCAGAAGGTGTCTTGGCCTTGTGGCAAGCTTTTGAGCCTCAGTGGCCACGCTTTGGCCCTACCCTGTTTGACTGGGCATTTACCCACAAGGAGATGCGTAACTTGGTGTTTCGTGTGAAGACAATTATATCTATTCTTTCCTTTCTCTTGCCTTTATTGCGCGCTAATTGTATTAAAGTTCCTTTCTTTTTTTTTTTTTTTCTTAAAGATTTATTTATTTATGCATACAAGAGCTGGGGTATAGGCCAGAGGTACGGGGGTGAGAGGATACACCAGAGACAGAGTGGGGAACAGAACAGGCAGATTGTCTGAAGTACACTGCTGAGGGGAGCAGCGGGGGAGACAGGAGAGGTCTGCTGTGCCATGTGGGTTTCTCCTGGCTGGCCGTGGATCGAACTGGTGCTGCAGATTGTGGATTGCTTCATAGTGCTGTGCTTAATCTCCTGCACCACCAGGGAAGTCCTTCGAGTTCCTTTCTATCAAAGGCCTTATGCACTTATTAAGACTATGTTTTATATTGACATGGCAGATGGCAGAACCTATTTAGAGCAGATAGGTTGGTCGACCTGTAATAGATTTAGTGCCCAACGTAAAAGGGACATAAGCCATTCATGGTGTAACAGGGTGGTCCCAGGAAAGGGGGAGGTTCCCTGCCCCACCCAAGGGAGGGTGGAGCTGAGCAGGAAGAGGAGAAGCTGTAGAAGAGACTAAGGAAGGAAGCAGGATGGAGCCAGGAGACCTGGAGGAGGCGCATAGAGCCTAGAGACAAGTAAAGAAACTGCGCTTGTCTTTTGGTCGTGGACTGGGTGACACAGATGTGGGTGAGACCCGTGGGGAGGTGACCATGGCAGCTTTTATCTTGATGTTGATTTTGCTCTTTTCCTTCCGGGCTTGTCCGGTTGTTTGTGACCCTTTTCTGTGGGTCCCCACTGGAAGATGCTTTAGACTTGTAGCAGGCTTTGGGGCCTTGTTCTGGGCCGATCCCATATGGATGGACTTTTACCCACGAGGGGACGGGTAACTTTGGGTGCTTCATTTAGAAACTAGACTCTTTGCCTTTCCTGTATTGTTTCCTAGTTTTATTAAAGATCCTTCCCATTAGTCTCATGTGTTTTGTATTGATGCGGCGGATGGCCGAACCCATTTAGAATAGGCAGGTTTGCAGGGTTTGGGCTGCCCCTCTCCCTGTCCTATAACAATGGTTTGTCACCTCGTGGTGGAAGTTGGCTTCCCCATGACACTGGCTATCATTAGCGCAAATGTGTTTTGTGTTTCTCTAGTGTGTTTGTGTTTCATATATGTGTAGATTTGCTTCCTGAGATTAGAAAAGCTTGCACCTTATGTAAACTTTGTGTGTATGTGTGCAATTTGTTTCTTGTCCTTTGTTCAGAGGTTTGATTTTGTGGAAATTTTTCTGTGATAGCTAGTAGCTTTTCTCAACGATGCCTAGTGTTGAAACACGTGGCTAGAGCAAAGGTAGAATCTGCTCCAAAATGGTGCTTTCGTGTGCTTCTTTGGAACTAAATACGGTGCCATGACTTTGGACATCTGTGATCTCTACTAGTTTACAGGACTAATTAGCAATTCTGAAGATAGTGTTAGGTTTTGAAGTGACTTTGGGCTCTTAATTGTGACTATTTCCTGATCTATGCCTCAGGGGCTTTTGCAAACCAAAAATATTCAGTGGTGGTTTGAATTAGCAAATTTATGCTTCGGTGCTAAGGTGAAAGAAGTCTTGAGCAATAACTCTGAATGGTGGTCTTAACTGAGTCTTGGAAAATCTGGAGTTTTGCAAGGTCTGGATCAGAAAAATTAGAGCGTTTTTAATCTAGATTAAGTTTGAATGGGTTTCCTGCTGGGAATTTTTGGCTATACCATTTGTTTTGGGCATATTTGCCATTTGAATTCTTGGATTTGTTTGATTGCTGGGGGAAGACAAGATTTTAAGACTGTTTCCTATTGAGGAAGGTCTGTTTTGGAAAGCACTCTGTTTCATGCATGGGGTACTTGTATTAGGTTTTTTTTTTTTTTTTTTTTTTTTTTTTTTTTAAATTTTATTTATTTATTATTCATGCAAGCACTGGGTACAGTCAGAAGCACTGGAAGGTGAACGAATTCACCAGAGCCAGAGCGGGGAGCAGAGCAGACAGAAGGACCGAAGTACACTGCTGAGGGGAGCAGCGGGTGGCAGGAGAGGTCTGCGCACCATGTGGGACCCTCCTCCTGTGGCCGGGGAGCAGCCGGGGATTGAACTGGCGCTGCAGAGACCGCGGGCAGCTTCGCAACCCAGCACTCAACCGCTGCGCCACCGGGGAGGCCCTTGTATTAGGTTTTAATACCTGTGTGTTACTTAGTTTGGGGGATGTGATTTGTTCTTTGATGTTGCTCTTTCTGCTTCTGTTCTGGGGTGGCTGGCATAAGTAAGCAGATGACTCCCTTTTAATTGACAGTTAACTGTTGATATTGTTCTGTTTCAGGAAACCCAAGGATTGCATGCTTGGTGGCTAACAGATGACTCCTTTTGATCCAAAGTTCATTTGATTTTGCTCTTTCAGCTGCTGTACAGAATACCCCCAGATTGACTTCTAATGTGAGGGTTTGAACACTGAACAACCTAAAGTGATAAACAAGGATATGTATCCCCTTTGTAACTGTTCTAACTGAACTTTTCCATCCTGTTTCCAAAGTCTTAGGTTGACAATTGGAATCATTCGTGATGACTATTACAAGCAACACTCCATATTTTTTAGGAGTTTGAGATTTTTTTTTCCCCTCTGAGCCTCCAGAGGAAGACTGTAGTTGCATAAAATAATCCCATTTGGGATATCTGATAGCTAAGACAACTATCTGTTTATATGTTGTATGCCCATATGTCTTCCCCTAATTGTCTTGGCCTTTAAAGGATGTAAAATTGGTATAGATGGTGCCTATAGATATTTTGAGTTAGAAGATACAACAGGAACTGGTAGAAGTACTTCCAGAAAACATAATCTAGAATAATTTTTGGTTGATGATGGGAAACTAACTTGGAATTTAATGGGTTGTTTTGAAATTCTGCGGATAGTTTCTACTTGGGAAGTTTTTCTATTCTTGATAGAGGGACACATGTTGTTGACATCATTCCTTTACCTTTTCCTTCCTTTGTACCTGAGTCCAGAGCAGTGGCAGCCATCATGCGGTCATGACAGGATGAATACGGCACACAGAGAAGCGGGCTCTGATGTTTGGGTGCTAATTAATGCCTTTAGCTGCCTTCATCCAGATTTTCTGTTGTGGGGTGTGGGGGATAAAAAAGAAAGGATCACCTTTTCAACAAATGATGGTGGAGTAATTATTGAATATCTGCAGGCAAAAGAAAAAAAAGGAAAAGAACAGATGTTGCAGAAATACAAAAGATCATATTACTACAAATATCTCAATACAAACAAACTGGAGACAACGTGGAAGAAATGGACAAATTTTTAAATTCATACATCTTTCCAAGACTTTAAAAATTTTGTTCTTTTTTGTGTCTGTAATTAAAAGTGACACATTTGGTATGTTTATTAATGCTAGTTTCATTTAATAATATCAAAGGCATATAAGTTTCAACATTTTTAATTTAATTGGGTAGATTTTAGGTAGAATACAAATAGTTTGGGGTTCGGTATGAAGTGCTGAGATCTTGATTTAAATCTTTCATTTTATTGTGATTTTCTTTTAGGCATATTGTGCTAAGTGAAACCTGTCAAATAAATCTTTCTTTCAAAAATTGAAAACAGATGTACTGAAATACACTGCTGAGGGGAGCAGCGGGAGAGGCAGGAGAGGTCTGCTGCGCCTTTGGCCTGTATTCCAGTTCTTGTATGCATAAATAAATAAATCTTAAAAAAATTAAAAACTGAAAAGCATTAGTTCTCTTAAGGAACTAATGTTCCTGATACATAGAAGTTAAATTTTTCAAAAGTGTTATCAAGTATTACATGTTGGTTTCGTTATTTTGTGATCTAAGACTGCTAATAGTGTGCCATTTCTTTGAAGACATCATTTGGAGCCTTTTTGGAATATTTCAGAACAAACAAAATGAATTATAATGCTGTGATTGTCATTCTTTGGTTCACTGGTTAAAATTCACAGATATAAGACTCATTATTTAAAAATTAACAGAACTCCATGAGGACCCTTGAAGAATAAAATCAACAGTGTAGTTGTGAAGTCAGGAGCCAGAAATGGACTAAGGTAAGATGCCAGGAAACATAGAGGTGTCTCCTGAAGCTATGCTGTTAGTGGGAAAAAAGAACTGGGAAGGACTGAGACCGGAGTCTGGTCTGATAACACAGGTGAGTCATCAAGCCAGGTGAAGTATGACTAGAATAAAAGGAGTTTCAAGGCAGAACATGTTTGGAACCCTGCTTCCTTATAAATGCCTTAAAGGGATGAGACTGTGAGCTGGTAAATGTAAATGATACTTGTTTATGTAAATGATATAAAGCTTGTTTATGTAAATGATATAAAACAATCATGATGTAGTTTCTTCTTATCCTGTTCAGCTGCTTGTACTGTCATTGAATTTCATTTCTGCTATTTACTAGTGTGAGAACTTCATATTATCTATTTCATATCATTTATCTACTTAAGTTGCAGTTTTTCTTAGGCAAAAATATGTAAGGGTTGTATACATTGAACATTGTATCAGTCTATGAATTAGTATTTACATTTCTAATTGGCTTAACAAATTTTTTTTGTAGGTAATGTGAAGATAGGCTTCAAGTTGAATTGTTACAGCACCCATATTAGTGGAGATTGAGTTAATGTTTTTTTTCTTTCTGGTATGTACTACTCAGTAGAGATCTACTGTTTTGTAACCAATATGCGATAATGTCAAATTCAATCAACACAACAAAATATTTTTAAGTAAACAATAAAGGACTTTGGAGGAGTGAGACCTAAAGTTCCCAAAGGCCTCTGTCCCTGATGATCTGGTTATTATTTATGTCAGCTGTAAGTGCCCTCATTTTGACCCAAAAGATGATTGTGTGGGAAGTTTGTCTCTGAGATAGAGCTGAAGCTTTGCTCTGCAGAGTGTCTTGAATGTAAATATACCCCGGGCCCCTGCTCCACCCTTGATAAATAAGGAGAAGACACAGTTTTCTCTAGTTGGAAAGTTGAAGTCATTGCTAAATCTATGCTCACTCTGTGTGGAAAAGGATAATCTATAGTAATATTGAACTGTGAGTATTTTGTTTCCTCTAAAATAAGGGAATTTTATGCAAAGTTAAATATGAGTGTTAATTTTGTTTGTAATTTACTTTGAACTGATTAAACTATAAAATGTTTCAAAAAGGATTTTTGAGATCTTTAGTTTCCACTGTCATTTAGTTTTTGCAAAACAAATTAGCCAGTTGTTATTATGCTAGTCAAAAACTCTAAAAAGCATTTTCCCCTTGAAACTGAGGAATTTAACTAGCTAAAGTAGATACAGTAATTTGGTTCTCTGCTAAAGAACGATAAGGCAATTTTGGACTGTAGTTGGACTTGAGTTGGCATTTGATATTATAGGTAATTCCCTTTATAATGATATTTACCGTTATATTTTTAAAATGATACTTGCTTTTAAATCAAGAACTTATGACGGGATATATGTTATTTTTTTAAATAGTAGATTATATGCACATTTAAAGCAACTTTCAATTTAAATTTAAGTTTCTGGAGAAACTTCAAGAAACTTCTGCTTAAAATGCTATGATGATGTAATTTCAAAAGTTATTCCTTATTATGGAAATCAACACAAGATATATTTCAAAATTTGAATAATACACAATGTTAATTTTATAGTCATGAATTTTCTAAATATTTAATCTATTTTCTCTTTCTAGCTGTGAAAATTCCTCAATTTAATGTTACTTTTTTCATTTAAAAGTACATATGGACATGTATAATTCCATTTAGATGAAATGTTTAGAATGGGAAAATGGGAAAATTCATAGAAACCAAAAGGTGATTAGTGGTAGCAGAGAATGGGGAGTTATCTGGTTATGGATGTGGGATTTCATTTGGAGGATTAACAATGCCCTGGAATTTGATGGTGGTGATAGTTGCACACTGAAAATAGTCTAAAAACCACAGAATTGTACACTTTATTTTTTTATGATGAAATTTTTAAGGGAAGTGACTTTGGTTTACAACACTTAGTTTCAAGTTGTATACTCTAAGAGTGATTTTATGTAATGTAAATTACATATTTTAAACTGTACAATAAAGCTATAAGTGAAGAAATGTAAAATCTTCCCTGTATTCTAAAGTTAAATGATAAATTCTTATAAAGGAATCAGAAAGTCTTAATTTGTGTGGTTATTCAAATATGCATTTTTTCATTTCCCCTGGTTTCAATAATCTCAGAAGCCCTACCATGAAAAACATTTTAATAATTAACATTACATAGCACTATCATTCATTGATTTTTATGAGTGATTACTATGAAAATGAAAATGATTTTTCTTGTGAAACAACTTCCTTTTCAGTTATATCATTTTATGCAATGCTCCAGGTGACATTTCACACAAGTGAAAATGTGAAAACTGAATCTTTAATTCAGGAATCAATTATTTTAATTAAAATTTTAGATATATGAAGATTTATTAAAAACAATTTTTGTTAAGGCACTTATGCAATTAAATATCTTTTCTGTAGAATAACTATTGTACTCTGTAAAAATATGTTTTTAAAAAGATTTATTTATTTATGCATACAAGAACGGGGGTGTAGGCCAGAGGGACAGGGGGGTAAGAGGATTCACCAGAGACAGAATGGGGAGCAAAACAGGCAGATCTACTGAAAATTACTGCTGAGGGGAGCAGTGGGCTAGACAGGAGAGGTCTGCTGCATCATGTGGGTTAGCTCCCTGCTGGTGTATTGAACTCATGTTGCAGTGTCTGGCGAAAAGCTTGATAGTGCTATGACTTTAACCCTTGTGCCACCAGGGATGCCCTGTAAAAATAGTTTTTTAATAAAGTTATACTTGCTACAGGAAAAAAATATAGACTTTGTCTATGTCAAATTAATCCTCTTGATAAAAAGCTGTAGCTCTTAGCTAGGTTATTTTTGTTTTAAATAACTTTCGTAGGAAGGATAACAAAACAATCACTCCAGACTCATTGTAATTTATCACTTAGAATAGGAAATTTGATTATATACCTCTGAGTTATTAATACTTATGCGTTTTAAGATTAATTTTGGGCCTCCCTGGTGGTACAAGGGGTTAAGTCTCATCACTATCAAACTATCACCAGACACTGCAGCAGGAGTTAGATCCCTGGCCAGGGAGCCACCTACATGGCACAGCAGACCTCTGTTTCCCCCCCACCCCACCTCTGGCCTACACCCCAGTTCTTGCATGTGTAAGTAAATAAAATAAATCTTTTTTTAAAGAGAATTAATTTGATGAACAATTTTTTCTGAAAATTTTATTTTACTATGCATGAATATTATAATACTTCTGTAAAGAATTTAGATGTCTGAAGAAAAATTTAATTAGTGAAAAATTTTCTCTAGAAAACGCTATTACTAGGAACATATAAAAGATAAATATTTCGTATTTATCTTATTGGCTTATTAATGTTAATGCTATTTATATATATGCTCTAGAGTAGAAATAGTTCATAACCAATAAAAAGAGGTCTGTTTTAGTTAATATTTTTGGGCATTTATTAATATTGGAAAGACTTGGCTTTAGAGCATTATTACTTATGATATGAACCCCAACAGTGGCATTATTATAAGATATTTATGGCAGGATATTATCAATTTTGTTGTAATTTGCTACATATGATTTTTCATAGTTACATTCCTCAAATGAACTCTCACTATATCTAAGCAATACCAAATAACTTTTAACTTTCAGTCTTCAAATATATGAATCTTAATGGTAAAAGCAGTAATTTAAAAAGGATGAATAACAACTTCAAGTTTTCACATTCACTTTCAATTTTCTAAAATAGAATTAAGACTCCAAATTGAAAATTGGCTAGAACTAAACAGGATTATTGCTAAAAAGTAGCATACAAACTAAACCAATCACGTCCAGAATTCCTTTTATATGGACATCCATTTGACCTGTTGTAATGGAAATCAGGAGTATACACTGGCTGATCCTATTGATTTAAGTCCTTGCTTTTCAAGGAGAACTTAATATTGAGTTTGTACTTAGTTGGGGTACCATTTTCGGTCCCGTCCCATATATATATTTTTTATGTTTATTTATTTATACAAGAATGGGGTACAAGCCAGAGGTGTGGGAAGGTGAGAGAATTCACCAGAGACAGAGCGGGGAGCAGAACAGGCAGACGGACCAGACCTAAGACACTGCTGAGGGGAGCAGCAGGTGAGGCAGGAGAGGTCTGCTGTGCCATGTGGGTAGCTCCCTGGCCGGCCAGGAATTGAATCCGCGCTGCAGAGGCTGCGAACAGCTTCACGGCACTGCGCTCAACCAGGAGGCCCCCATTATTTATTCTTTACAACTGCTGCTCTGATATCCGAAGAGTGAAAGATTCAATACTTTTAAAGGAATGTAGATCTTATTAGATGATAAAGGAGACACATTTCAGAGTTATTACTATTTGAATCATCTTTATTTTTATAGAGAAATCTTAGCCGTGAACCCATCACATGAGTAATAAAATAAAAGACTTTTCTATTTAATTGCAGAAGCTATCACAGATATTTGTCTTGTGCATATCTTTTGGTATGATTTAAAACATATTTTCTTCATTTTTTTTTGTTTTTTAAAAGGGAAAACAGTTTTTATCTTTTCGCACAGAGGATGAAACTATAAAATAGGATGGAATCTGGAATGACCTTTATTTTCTTTTGATAACTTCTAATTTCTTAAACTGTAATTTCCTGTTTAATTCTATTTAAAGATACACTATTTTTAGAGTTCCTTCCTACGAAATAACAAATTAATAGTTTTTCCCACAAGGAATAATTTTTGATTTTGAATAATTTTCTTATATCAACTTATGATTTTTGGGTTTATTATTAAAAATAAAATACTTTCAGTAGTCAACAAACTACTTTTATCAGAGAAGCAGAACTAAAATTAATCTTAATGCTTAGCATATCCACAGTGCTATGGAAAATATTTACAGAGGTCTTAGATGATTTAAAAAAGTGCTATGAAAGTCATTTTTTTCCCTGTTATTTAATTTCCTTCATTAAAAAGCCTAATTTTTCTTCTTAATTCATCTTAATTTTGAACACTGAGATCCTGACACTATTAGAACAACAATTATGGGAATTGGTTATTAAGTCAAGAAATGTGCTGGATTTTTATATAATTAAACTCTTCCAACAACTTTGCTAAGAAGGTCTTACTATCATTCTACAACTGAGGAAACTGGGGCAAGGGAGGTTTGATAAATAACCCATAAATAATTTGGTAAAAGTATTTTATGAAGCCTGACTCCAAAGCTTTGTGCTTTCAAGAGCTACAATGATTATTATTAAGGTTTATTATTTGTAAGGAACTGAACAATAAGAAATTGTTGTGTAGATATGAAAAATTAATATTTTCCAGTTAAAGTATAAATATAAATGTCCCATGTAAATTCTATTGTGTTGTTTTTCAAAAATGGTATTGAGGGCCTCCCTGATGGCGCGGGCAGTTATTCGCCACACTGTGAGGCTGTCCACAGTCTCTGTAAGGCAGGTTCAATCCCGGCCGGCCAGGGAGAAACCCACATGGTGAAGCAGACCTCTCCTGTCTCACCCGCTGCTCCCCTCAGCAGTGTTTTTGGTCCGTCTGCCTGTTCTGTTCCCCACTCTGTCTCTGGTGAATCCTCTCACCCTCCTGTGCATCTGGACTGTACCCCCGGTTCTTGTATAAATAAATAAATAAATAAATTTTAAAAAATCTTAGAAAAAAAGGTATTGTATTTTAAAAATCACACGGATTTGGTAATTATACTTTCAAATAGTCTAAAAATTTTGTTTTCTTTAAGTTCTATTTCAGCATTTTTTGATGAAGAAGTAAAATTGGACCAGAGAATGGCAAATACTTATGTCACTGCATCTGATGGGTACTGTCTTGCTGAACAGGAGCAGTACTATGGTATGTAACAAAAACTTACTGTATAATAGTTAATAAAACTTTTTTTTGGTGGGAATTATGGTTAATTGCAGAGATTAAAAAATAGCAATGAACCAAAGACCTTAAACTATTCCTTACAAAAAAATAGAATTAATTTTAAGAATCAGTAATACTAAAATGTAACACAGAATCAAATATGAAGGAAAAACACAATAATTTGAAATCATATTGATTTAAAAAATAGAATTAGCATACTAATTGCAGTTATTTTTAGGAGCTAGCTGATGCTAATTCACTTGCAATTTAGTAAGTGTAACTCAGGAGCTGTTCAATATACTTGAAAATTTAAAATTAATATAAGATTCCTATCAAAGGGAAGGAAATAGAAATCAGAATGCAGGAGACAATAGGAACTTTCTCCAAAAAGAATAAGGTTATAGTATAAATTTAATTTTATAGAGGCATGTTTTATTTATTTATTTGTTTGTTTGTTCGTTTGTTTTGTTTATACATGCACTGGGGACAGTCAGAAGCGCGGGAGGGTGAGAGAATCCACCAGAGCCAGAGCGGGGAGCAGAGCAGGCAGAAGGACCGAAGTACACTGCTGAGGGGAGCAGCAGGCGGCAGGAGAGGTCTGCGCACCATGTGGGACCCTCCTCCGGTGGCCGGGGAGCAGCTGGGAATCGAACCGGCGCTGCAGAGGCTGCGGGCAGCCTCGCAACCCAGCGCTCAACCGCTGCGCCACCGGGGAGGCCCTAAATTTAATTTTAATTGCCATTTTCTTTTAATTTGAACTCTAATTTTAATGTCAATGGAACGTCAGCTGGTATTCTTCAATCTTGACATTCATCCAAAAAAGGTCCTCTTTAACAAAAAGTTACATTGCTTCTACCAGCTCTCCTTCTTACATCATGCTCTTCTATCAGAATATATCAACCTTATATCCAGGTTAACATTGGGCTGGATGCTATAAGATTGCAAATGGAATAAAAAGTATACTGTTTATCAGGTTTTTTTTTAAAGATTTATTTACTTATATAAGAACTGGGGTATAGGCCAGATGTGTGGGAGGGCGAGAGGACCCACCAGAGCCAGAGCAGGGAACAGAACAGGCAGACTGACGAAATACACTGCTGAGGGGAGCAGCAGGAGAAGCAGGGGAGGTCTGCTTGCCATGTGGGACCCTTGCCTGCTGGCGGGAATCGAACCGGTGTTGCAGAGGCTGCAGACAGCCCCATAGTGCTGGGCTCAACCGCCTGCGCCACCAGGGGAGGCCCTGTTTATCAGTTTTGATGGTAGAATTTGAGGATCAGACTAAGTCTAATCACCTGGTGAGTCAACACTATAAAAACTACAAATATTACTAGTTACAGATGCAGAATAACTAAGTATTCCTCCATCATTTTGGAGTCAATTCTCTGAATTTAGAGCTCTTAATTCTCCAGAAAGCAAAAGTAAGCTGTTGTTTTGGAGCGCATAGTAATAATGAAGTTTCATTGTATAGTTTATCTGTGCTTTTACATACCATATTTTGTTTCATTCTTCTAGTAGCCCTGTGGTGAATTCATCTCCAGGTAATTGCAACACAGCAAAGCAAACAAAAAAATCTAGTAATTTAAATCAGGTTTACAAATGGCAAAGGAGGGTAGGCTATTAAGATATTTTAAATGGTGGTTTCAAAAAAAATTATGTCTTGAAATAGCCAGATAACTGGTAAAATTGTACTTCAGTTTAGGGGGTGGGTGGGATGATTCATTCATTCATCTTTCTGTGGAACTGATTGCATTGAAAGTAGTGACCCATAATAAGAGCAATGCAGAAAATGGGGAAAATGTTCTTCCACTCCAGACTCTGGGTGATACTCATTTGTGCTTAAGAAGGGAGGATGGGGGGCCTCCCTGGTGGCTCAGACGGTTGAGCACAGTGCTGTGAGGCTGTCTGCAGCCTCTGCAGTGCTGGTTTGATCCCCGCCGGCCTTGGAGCAACCCACATGGCACGGGAGACCTCTCCTGTCTCGCCCGCTGCTCCCCTCAGCGGTGTATTTTGTCAGTCTGCCTGTTCTGTTCCCCGCTCTGTCTCTGGTGAATCCTCTCACCCTCCCTCTAATCCGGCCTGTACCCAGGTTCTTGTATAAATGAAATAAATCTTAAGAAAAAAAAAAAAAGAAAAAGAAGGGAGGCTAGATTGGTAGGTAAGCCATTAGCAATTATTGCCCTTTCTCCCAGCTCCTGAGCAACCTCTCCATACCTCTGGGAAGGCAGCACTTTTCATGCATTGCAATTCAATTTACTATCTGCTTCTCATGATGGACGGCAAGTCCGTGGGATAGAGTTGGCATATTGGACTACCTCTGTTGGATATAAAGCTCTTTGAAATTTGAAAACAAATATGAAATTTTGACTTTTGGCCATGTGTTCTTTTTTGTTAAAAAACAAAAAAACAACTAGATATTTTGCCAGAGGAAATCAACTATCAATTGAATGACACTGATTTCCAAGAATCACCTTATTGCCAGTATTCTACTGTCCAGTTTCCGTCAGCTCTGCTGTCACCATCTTTACCAAGGCATTTCAACACTTACAGCTTGGATTTACAGTTCAGCGGTGGAGACTATGGACTTGGTTATTGTGAACTAAATAAACCTACGTATGTGGTTGCCCTTGATGCTGAAGATGGATATCCTGGAATCAAAAGGTCCAGACTAACTCATTCTTCCATACGAATTAAGGGACAGGAAGAATTCTGTGTAGTTTGTGGTGATAAAGCCTCAGGATATCATTATAACGCGCTTACTTGTGAAGGTTGCAAAGGTAAGGATAAAGTTAAAAATGCCTAAAATCCCAGTGTTCACTGGAGAGAGATAAAATGTTATTATTATTTAAAATGTGAAAATATAAAACAAGGGAGAATCATTGATATGTTAAAGGTGATCAGTTTGTTGGATCAAAGACTTGAAAATGGAATGTAATAAAATTTGGTTCAGTTTTCATTTCATTTTTGATCCACACTTATATTTTATATTTAAATAAAAGCCAATGTTTATTGAGCAGTTTTCCACTTTTTTAGATGAATCTTATGTTAGAATAGAATACAATCTTTAAAAAGATTTGAACGATTACATCTTCTCATGTGGCTGATAAAAATTCATGTTTTAGAAAAATGAAACTAAATGACTTCTACGATTCTTTTTTTGGAATGTTGTTTTGAAAACAAACGGGAGTGGAGATTGTTCTTAACAATGTCATTTTCAAAGAGTAAAGCAATCTTTGATGAAGTCTGAGGTTTTGAAACATTTCTGCGTTGTTTTGATTCACAAACCTAATATTGGGATGGAACCTGGAAATGATTAGAACAATACAGCCCTAGGTAGAAGTTCAGTGTGAAGTTTTACTGTTCAAATCTCACAACTCAACCTTGCAAAGAATAGCCAAGTTTATGCCCACAATAAATGAAGTACCAGTTCAATGAATAGCTGGCAAGTATATGTGTACTTTAAAAAGTGATTATTGAAAAAAAGAACCTTGAAATAGAAATATTAAAAAGGAGAGGGTCAAAACAATGATCTGGATAAACAGGCATTAAAAACCAAGGGAAAAACATTTTATGGAAATAATTTAGTTGATTACTTTAATATGAAGGTATATATGAATAAGAACAACAATTAAAAATACCTAATAGTAAAATTAAAAATTTTTTTATTAGGTTTTTTTCGTCGTAGCATCACCAAAAATGCTGTATATAGGTGCAAGAACGGTGGTCATTGTGAAATGGACATGTACATGCGTAGGAAGTGTCAAGAGTGCAGACTGAAAAAGTGTAAGGCTGTAGGAATGTTGGCAGAATGTAAGTGCCACTATGTTTTTTGACGATTCTAGTTTTTCTTACCTTATTCAGAATTTAATACATTCTATTCGTGTTGTCATTTTGAAGATCAATATACATTTTGGATTTAAGGTATTTGTTTAGCAGCTTTGAAGTTAGAAGAGTTAACCAATCCAGGTAAGTGTTTCTGCATACCACATTCTATATTGTATTGCTCTAACTTTGGTTAATAATCATATTTTCATTTTTAATTGGAAATCCTTTTTCACATTACTTAATCCAAAATTATGTCATGATCTAGAAAGAGCAGAATTTTAGAGTAACAATGCCCCCTTTTCTGTCTTGTATCTTTAGAGCGTACATGATACCTGGGTTGTGGACACTGCTAACAACATATAGGTGTCAAGCTCAGCTTAACAGGCAGAAGAGTAACTAAGTTTTTTAAGACCCTTCTATGTTCATTGTGATTTTTAAATTTTATTTATTTTATATTTTTTAAGATTTTATTTATATATTTATTTATACAAGAACTGGGGTGCAGGAAGGTGAGAGGATTCACCAGAGACATTGTGGGGTGCAGAACAGGCAGACACACTGAAAGCACTGCTGAGGGGAGCAGTGGGTGCAACAGGAGAGGTCTGCTGTGCCATGTGGTTTGCTCCCTGGTGGGCTGGGAATTGAAACTGTTGCAGAGGCTGCAGACAGCTTCACAGTGTACAAATTACATGATGTCATTTGATCCTCATAGTAATACTAAGATTTTGGCATTATTTCTTCAATTTCTCCTATTACCCAGGGTTCAAAATCTGATAGTAATTTAAACATTCATTTTTCTTTATAGAGTATGCTTATGTTTTCTTTTATGTCTAATATAGCCTTATGCAAACTTTTATTATCTTGCACTTATACCATTTTATTAATTTTATGGCCATTTGAACTTTTTCTCATTTATTTCAATCTACTTTCAACTGCTGTAATAATCTTCAATTTTGATATTGCGTTATTCAATATACTCTTGCAATGCAATGTTTTGTTTATATTGTACTGCAATACCAATGCAATGTTTTGTTTATATTATACTACTTATTATAATAAAGTTCCAACCCTTCAAAGTTCTTTACCAAAATGATTCCTAATATATTAAATTCTGGGGTTGGAGTCGATTTTTTTTTTTTTTTTTTTTTTTATAGAGGCATGCTTTATTTATTTGTTTGCTGGTTTGTTTGTTTGTTTTGTTTATACATGCACTGGGTACAGTCAGAAGCGCGGGAGGGTGAGAGAATTCACCAGAGCCAGAGCGGGGAGCAGAGCAGGCAGAAGGACCGAAGTACACTGCTGAGGGGAGCAGCGGGCGGCAGGAGAGGTCTGCACGCCATGTGGGACCCTCCTCTGGTGGCCGGGGAGCAGCCGGGGATCGAACCGGCGCCGCAGAGGCCGCGGGCAGCTTCGCAACCCAGCGCTCAACCGCTGCGCCACCGGGGAGGCCCCTGGAGTCGATTTTTTAAAGTTATTAAAACTAACGTGAATCCTTTACTTTATCCACATCTGCTTTGGCTGCTATAACAAAACACCTTTGTCTCTCATCATAAGGAAAGAACTTAGGGCATTTAAAAAATCATAAGATATAGTTCTGATCTCATGCTTTAAAAAACAAGGATAAAGACACATAGATAAGGTTGTTCAACTCCTGTACCAATTGATATTCTATGTTGCTTCCAAGATAAAATATGGAAATTTCTCTAATAAAATGGTTTAACTTTACAATTGGAGATGCAAAATTAATTTTTAATTTATGGCTAGGATGACTATATAATTTTAAGCAGATAATTGTCAAAAGAAAGGAGTAAGTAGTGTAGTAAATTTAATTGTGTACATAGTTGCTTCAGAAGAAGGCTTCTTTGTAAAAAAAAAAGACAAGTCTATGATCATATATTTGCACAAAATAAGAAAAATTTCTTCAAATCCTGTAATATTATTTGCTTACCCAGGACATTTCATAAAACTTTTGTAATATCACAGGTTTGCTCACAGAAGTCCAATGCAAATCGAAGAGACTTCGAAAGAACTTTAAGCAGAATAACTCTAACATCAGCGTAGAAGAGGAGAGGGCAGACAAGCTGGTATCATCTACCACGTCTGGGAAAGTGGTAAGACATTTCTCATAACATTTTTTATTTCTATAACAATGATGTCTTGTTTAATAAATATGTGTTCTTGGTTCCCTCCTATATTTTCTTACAGATTCAGGAAAGCATGGAACTAACTCAAGAGGAATATCAGTTCATTAACAACATTGTGATTGCTCATCAAAAATATACAATTCCTTTAGAAGAAACAGAGAAATTTGTATGTGTTCCTTAGTGGCAAGAAATCATTCATAATTCTGTTAGAGAATAGGAGCATAAACATAACAGTTTAAATTTTAAACAGTTATTTGAAAGGAAGTAAAGTTTATTAATCATGTCTTTGTGTTGGTTAGCTTCAGGAATATGCAAATCCTGAACTGAGCTTTTTACGACTCTCAGAGACAGTTGCACTGCACATACAGGGGTTAATGGATTTTACGAAGGGACTCCCAGGTAATCATTTCACTTTTGGGAAGAATTCATTTAAAACTTTATTTATTTTAAATAATTTTTTTAGAGAGCTAACATTGGTTTACAACTTTACACATGATAACAGAAATATAGGATTCCCACCTCTTCGGGTGGATGTTACCACATCACATTCTCTACCAAGGTCTTAGAATCCTTAATTTGAAGAAAGTTCCTTGTTTTATATTTATTTTTTTATTAGAAGAATGGAGGTGTAGGCCAGAGGCATGGGGCTTAAGAGGATCCACCAGAGACAGAGTGGGGAGCAGAACAAGCAGATTCACTGAATTACATCATTGGGGGGAGCAGAGGGTGAAACAGAAGAGGTGGGCTGTGCCATGTGGTTTAGCTCCCTGTCAGGGGATCGAACTCAGGTTGTAGTTGTGACAGTGCTGAGGCTTAACCACTAGGCCACCAGGGAGACCCAGAAAGTTCCTTGTTTTAAAGGAAGTGGACTTTTAAAGAAAATAACCTCTATTTTTCTACCAAACTGCTTCTAAATGCAAAAAATTTATTTTATCAGCTTTAATCAGATGGGCAAAAATGTATATATTTTAAAATATTCAAATGACAAATATTCAAATTCTTCATCTGAAAATTATCTTTTCATCATCTAATATTTCAAATAATTATGTGATATTTTCTTAAAGGATTTGAAAATTTGACCAAAGAGGATCAGACTGCATTATGCAAGGAATCAAAAACTGAAGTGATGTTCCTTCATGTGGCCCAACTTTACAGTCAGAAAGCATGTCTCTCATCAACTTCTGAACATGGAAAAGGTGGATCTTAATGTTTGTAGTACTACTGAATTTAGTAACAAACTATGTAACATTATTACATAGTTTACATAGTTACATAGACAGTAGTTTTTTTCTTATGTTTTTATTTATCTAATTTGTGTATGACTAAGAACGTCATAATAGATGTTTACAATAGTTTTCCAATTCATTGGTCTAGCTTTTTTGGCTTTTCTTCTAAAGAAAGCTACTCTATAGAATCATGGAAAACACATTTTTGGAGTGTCTACTATGTAATTTTTATATAAAATATGAACTAATCTGGCCTCTTAGTCATTTTTTTAAAGATTTATTATTTTTTATTTATGCATACAAAAACTGGGGTATAGGCCAGAGGTAAGGGTGGGGTGAGAGGATTCACCAGAGACAGAGTGGGGAGTAGAACAGGGAGACCCACAGGAAAACACTGCTTAGGAGAGCAGTGGGAGAGACAGGAGAGGTCTGCACCATATGTGGGTCAGCTCCCTGGCTGGGTATCAAACTCATGCCGTAGTGTCTGGCAATAGCTTGTTAGCACTGAGACCTTAAGCCCTGTGGCACCAGGTAGGCCCTTAGTAATAATAATTTTAAAGCTACCATTTGTTGGGAATGTTTCCTAACAGAGATTAGAGAGATTGCTTTTATTATCTATACAAATATTTAAAAAAAAACAAATTTTACATTTTTCCCTTTTACTAGGTACCATGAAAATATCAAATCATTCAGCTCATTCACTGAATTTTCATGATCAGAGTGGTGATAGAAGTGTTATTTATTCTATGGAAACAATATACAATGGAGGTTGTCTTTCAACTGGACTAACTGGTAATGTATAAATTACAAACTATTGGGTGGAAAAGATTGGTCAGATCTATTATTTTATTTTGTTACCGTGCTTTGAGAAAAAAAGGTAATGACAATATGTTTGATTCTTCATTATGGACTGATGAAAATACATTTGATATTAATCTTTTTTAGGGATTGCTGAGGAATTTATTACTACACTGTTCTACTTCTACAAAAGAATGAGTGAGCTTAATATTACTAATACTGAATATGCTCTGCTTGCAGCAACAATTGTATTTTTTTCAGGTAAAAATGATTTATGAGTAAAAACTTGGTTTGTTTGGCAATGAAAACATGAGGAAATGATGGAAATCATTTTTCTTTATCTTATACCTAAATCAAACATGCAACTTTAGCCTCAAAATATACCTAGAACTCAATTACTTGTCAGGTTAATCCAAAATACTGCCTAACTTGCTTTCCTGCTTCTGCCCTAGTCTATTTTCCTTTTTTTTTAAAGATTTATTTATATATGCATACAAGAGCTGGGGCACAGACCAGAGATGCTGGGGGTGAGAGGATTCACCAGAGACAGAGTGGGGAACAGAACAGGCAGACTGACTGAAATACACTGCTAAGGGGAGCAGTCAGTGAGTCAGGAGAGGTCTGCTGCACCATGTGAGTTCCTCTCTGGCCCGGCAGGGATCAAACTCATGCTGCAGAGGCTGCAGATCACTTCATAGTGTGGTGCTTAACCCCTTGCGCCACCAGGGAAGCCCCCTAGTCTATTTTCTATACAGTAGCCACAGTGATTCTTTGGAAACATTAACCAGATCATCTCATTCTTCTGCTCAAAACCCTTCAATGGCTTTTTCTTTTATACAGAGTAAAACCAAAGTTCTCTCTTGCCTCCGACTATCCTTTTTGCTTGCATCACAGCCACATTGCGTTTGATGTATATGATCCTTGAAAATTTAAGCAGATTCCCTTGACAAGTTCTACTATACTTGATAAATATATTTGGAAAGTTTTTTCCCCATATAGCTAGTTCCCTCCTTCACCATCTTGGATCTCTGTTAAATGCCATCTCTGATTATCCCTTAGAAAATAGCTACTACCCATCATCTTAAATTCTTATACCTTTATTTTTCTCTATGAAAGTTGTCACAGTCATATATATTTAAAAAATCTATATATGTCTCTTTCCTCATAGTGAAGGTAGGAAATTTTGTCTGGATGAATGAATAAATATACTTAACAATTAAGGAATTTGTGGTTGCTCTTATATTTTACAGCCATAGGTTTAAGAAGGTATGCCATTTTCTTAGTGATGACCTTCAGGGAAAATCTCTAAGTTTCAAATAATCTTGAAACTTAATCTTATATTCTTATAACTACTAATTGACCCTTCTTTTAATATTTGACTCATGGAGATTACTTCTCTAAGTTTTAGTAGATCATCTGAAAAGTGGTGGTAATAATAGAACTAACTTTATAGAGTATTAGGAAGATTAAAGAAGCTATTGCAGCAAGTTACTTAGCATAATATCTGGCATATATTAAGGTGTAGAAACTATTTGCTATTTTTATTATTTAAAAACTTTTTAAATTAAAAAAAAAAGATTTATTTATACATACAAGAGATGGGGTATAGGCCCAGAGGTGCTGGGGTAGGGGGGCATCGGGGTGAGAGGATTCACCAGAGACAGAGTGGGGAGCAGAACAGTATTGACTGAAATACACTGCTGAGGGAAGCAGCAGGCGAGACAGGAGAGGTCTGCTGCGCCATGTGGCTTAGCTTCCTGACTGGGGATCGAACACATGCTGCAGTAGCTGCTGATAGATATCTTGATAGTGCTGAGACTTAACCCCTTGTGCCACCAGAGAGACCCCTAAAAACTATTATTTTAATTGAATTCATTACCATTGTTTTGTATTCATTAAGGTGTATCTTATGTTTTTCAGATCGTCCATGCCTTACAAATAAGCAACATGTGGAAAATTTACAAGAACCAGTCTTACAAATTTTGTACAAATATTCAAAAATTTATCATCCAGAAGACCTACAGCATTTTGCCCATCTCATAGGGAGGCTCACTGAACTGAGAACACTGAATCACAACCACTCAGAAATACTTAGCACTTGGAAAACAAAGGACCCTGGATTGGCTAGTTTGTTCTCTGAGAAATGGGATTTGTATTCCCAGTGCTGAAATTTTAAAATGTTGTGGTTTATCTGTAAACTTCTTAAATCTAGGTTGCTTATCCTATCATCATAGAATAACCAAGTTGAAAAACAAGAACAGGATTGCTATGTTACTAGTATAGCAATTTTGCCCAAAATGGACACCATCAGTGCTCATCAAATGTTGTGGAACATAGGTCTGCCACCAGAGGGACTTCTAGGTTCTTTTCAAGATTCAACTAAGAAGCTATGGCTTATTTTTACTGCATGGTTCCTTCAAAAGGGAATAGTACAAAATTAGAGTTCATACCCCAAGAGACTTTTCTTTTTCTCATTTTAGTAGAAAATGGGATGGAAATATAGAGACATTGAGAAGGCTGTTAATTATGTAACCAGAATAAAGGTAATTTGGCCAGATTAATGGGTAAGGGACATTTAAACATATTCCTGTTAAAGCATTTTGTGAATTATTAAAGAGGAACCAAATTTTCTGTTATACTTTTTCTTTTTTAAAAGATTTATTATTTATACATACAAGAGCTGAGGTACAGGCCAGAGGTGTGGTGGGTGAGAGATTCACCAGAGACAGAGTGGGGAACAGAACAGGCGGATTGAATGAAATACACTGCTGAGGGGAGCGGTGGGAGAGACAGGAGATGTCCCCTGTGCCGTGTGGGTTGTTCCCTAGCCGGCCAGGGATCGAACTCGTGCTGCAGAGGCTGAGGATTGTTTCATAGTGCTGTGCTTAACCCCTTGTGCCACCAGGGAGGCCCTCTGTTTTATTTTTCTTAATGTTTTTAGATAATGAGATTTTTTTTATAAGACCAAATAAAAAATTTGTGGTGACAAGATATTGAAAAAATCAAAATGACAAATCATGAAAACATTTTAACATGTATTGGAAAATTAGTACAATTTACTGCTCATTTTGGTAGACAATATTTAAAAATTTTTGTCAAGACGTTTTATAGAAAAATAAAATTTGTAGAAACCTGAAATATCTCCACAAATATTTTACATTTTTTAATATTTATTTTATTTATTTATGCATACAAGAACAGGGGTGTAGGCCAGAGGTTAGGTGGTGGTGAGAGGATTCACCAGAGACAGAGTGGGGAGCAAAACAGGTAGATCTACTGCAATACACTCAGGTGAGTCAGGAGAGGTCTGCTGTGCCATGTAGGTTATCTGCCTGGTGGGGGATCGAACTCATGCCACAGTGGCTGCCCTAGCTTGATAGTGCTGAGACTTAACCCCTGTGCCTCCAGGGAGACCCTCCAAAAATATTTTAATCCTTGCTAGGACAGGTTATAAATTACACATTAAAAATTTCAAGTGAAATAGATGAAATTGAGAAATTCTATGGTGCCACCATTGTTTTGAAAGACTGGATGTAAATAAATAAACTGGTGAATTTAATACTAGTAGCACCATTTGGTTTTCGATAAAAAAATAAATTCTGTAGTTAAAAATTTCAGTTGTAAAACAAATTATTGGAATTTGAACTTATACTCAAAAAAAATCTTAATTAGATGTATGAGTCATTGCTCAGGAGGGATATCTTGTGCATATTCTTGGTATATCTCTTGAAGAGAGAATTTTATCTTTTTAGAGGTTTTTTAGACTCAGTTTTTTAAAAAATGAAATGAAGTAATTAAACTGTATCATCCCTTCTAGCTCAAAATTTTCTAATTGCATTAGAAACTGTTATTCCTGATAGATTAAAATTATATAAAACAAAATGGGTTATTTAAAAATATTACTAAAGTTCTTTGGAAAAACATCAAATATAGAACATGGAGAAAGAAAACAAATAGGTCCAAAATGGAAATTACTATCTATGGTTCAAACATAGCTATTTAGTGCAATATTTTATTGTATCTAGCCATCCATGTCAGAAACCAGACTTCTTTTTTTAAAGATTTATTTATACATACAAGAACTGGGGTACAGGTGTGGGGGGTCAGAGGATTGATCAGAGACAGGGTGGGGAACAGAACAGGCAGATCTACTGAAATTCACTGCTGAGGGGAGCAGCGGGTGAGTCAGGAGAGGTCTGCTGTGCCATGTGGGTCACCTCCCTGGCCGGGGATTGAACTCATGCTGCAGTGGCTGAGAATAGTTTTATACGTTGTGTCTTAACCCCTTGCACCACCAGGGGGTCCCCGAGAAACCAGACATTTTTTTTTTTTTTTTAAAGATTTATTTTTTATTTATTTATACAAGCACTGGGTACAGTCAGAAGCGCGGGAGGGTGAGAGAATTCACCAGAGCCAGAGCGGGGAGCAGAGCAGGCAGAAGGGCCGAAGTACACTGCTGAGGGGAGCAGCGGGCGGCAGGAGAGGTCTGCGCGCCATGTGGGACCCTCCTCCGGTGGCCGGGGAGCAGCCGGGGATCGAACCGGCGCTGCAGAGGCTGCGGGCAGCTTCGCAACCCAGCGCTCAACCGCTGCGCCACCGGGGAGGCCCGAAACCAGACATTTTTTTTTGGACTTTTCTTTCTCCTTCCACATCCACTATTAAACAAACAAACACATCTAATTGTAAACACATCTAATGTACTACTTTTTAAACATCTTTTGCATCTGACACCTCCTCTTTATCTTGACTGCGACTGTCATAGCTTAGGTCCCAGGCTATTAAAACTGTCTCCCTAACTCCAGTGGCAAAAGCGTAAAGCGTTTTTTAAAAAAAGGATTTATTTATTTATACAAGAACTGGGGAACATGATAGAGGCACGGGCGGGTGAGCGATATCACCAGAGAGAGCAGGGTGCAGAACAGGCAGACGGACGCAAGACTGCTGAGGGGAGCAGCGGGGGAGACAGGAGAGGTCTGCTGCGCCATGGGGGACCCTCGCCGGCCGGCTGGGATCGAACCCGCGCTGCAGAGGCTGCGGGCAGCTTCACAGCGCAGCACTCAACCCGCTGCGCCACCGGGGAGGCCCTTAAAGCATTTTTATACCAAAAATTTTCTCCTGAATATGATCATGTACTTTCTGCTTATAATTCAAGATTCCCACCCACAAAAGCTGAAATCCAGACGCCTTGGCAAGGCCTTCCTATGTGCTCTCTAAGCCTCCAGGGTCATTTCTTGCGGTTTCCCCACGTTGTCCTCACACCCCTGCACCACGCTTCTCAAACTCAGCGCTCTTGTACTGAAATCTCACCATTTCAGAGACTCAGCCAGGAATACTTTCTCCATGGACGATCTACCAACTCCCGACTCACTTTTCTGCTCTCCACTGAAGCACTGACAAGAAATATACCATGTCCCTGAAGCTCTCTTGACTTGTCAAGTCACTATAAGAGCGTCACTAACCACTCTTTGAAAATGACCCCCTATAGGGCCTCCCTGGTGGCGCAAGGGCTTAAGCACAGCGCTGTGAAGCTGTCTGCAGCCTCTGCAGCACGAGTTCGATCCCTGGCCAGGGAGCTACCCACATGGCACGGCAGACCTCTTCTGCCTCGCCTGCTGCTCCCCTCAGCAGTGTATTTCAGTCAGTCTGCCTGTTCTGCTCCCCACTCTGTCTCTGGTGAACCCTCTCGCCACCCCGCATCTCTGGCCTGTACCCCAGCTCTTGTGTTAATAAATCTTTACAATAAATGACCACCTATAAATGATTACGGGGGACTTGGGGGCGGGTTATAGTTGTTCTAGGCGCCTGTGTTTCCATCCCAAGACTTGGAGCCCCGGGGGCCAGCGCCCTCTCGCCTCGCGTCAGACAGCCGCGCGCACCCCCACAACCGCAGGCCACGGCGCACCCCCACAACCGCAGGCCACGGACGCGGGCTCCTGGGACACACAGAGCCCGGCCGGAGGGCCATTGCCGCGGGAAGGAAATCTCGCGAGAGTAGGCCCTGGGCACGCGGCGAGACTTCGAGTTGACGGTTATTTAGCCGTTAAACAGCCGTTGGCCCCACTTGTCCCTCCGGTCGGGGTGGATCGATTTCACGCCTTTCTGAGGTTCGGAGCTGGAAGTTCTGGTTGGTTCTTTCTGCTGCCCTCATAGACGAGCAGGTAGCAGCTTGCGGGGCGCCTGGTTCTTTAAAGGTGAGGGCTGGGGTGCCGGGTTCCCCACCCGAGCCCAGGGCTGGGGTTCCTTGGCAGAGGCCACCCCCCTCCGCATTTCCCCCCCCCCCTTCCGGCCTCGGGCGCCTTCTTGGTAGTGGGGGTCGCCTAAGGCCTACCCCATCACCCCCACACCTGGCGAGGAGGCAACCCCCCCCACCCCCCGGGATCCTCGCCGCCCGCGTGGCCATTTGGAGGTAGGGGGGAGGGTGGGAACAGATACCGGTGTTCTAAAATTTAATTTATTTTAAATATTTTCGTTTGCCTTAATGTTGGTTGACGTCGTTGCGCGGGGTGTTCGTCCCTTTCCCCACCCGCCACGGGCGTGCCGCCGTCTCCATGGCAACAGGGGATGCGGCGGCCCTCCCGCGGCCATTTCCTGCACGAGCGTCACGTGGTCTCCCCTGAGCCGTGAATTAATGAACCGATGTAAAACGCTTTTTCCCGCCTTTGGGGCAATAGCTAATTATAACTGGAAGAGAAAATGGAAAAGCAAAAGTCGGTTAAATTGTTTGTCCCGCCGAGGTTATGTAGCCAAGTGTCCGCAGTGAAACCTCATCCCTCGGGAGGAGAGTCTAATTTCTTCAAGGTAACTTTGCATACGAATCTTGACTTGACCCTTCTTAATTTTAGGCAAATCAGGCAAAGTGTACTTCCTTACCGCTGATATTTTATGATTATCTTTTTGGTCAGTATCATTTGATTTACCTAAGAATTTTGAGGAGCATCGCTTTGAATGATTAAGGAGCATCCTTCATGAGTGTGAACACCATGTAGAGAAATGATGTCAGCTGCTGTAGAACTCTGCATACGTAGTGGGTCCTGCTTATTTTAATCCTTCTTTCCTGGAATGATTTGAGGCAACTTACAAGACATATCCGATGAAATAGTAACATATAAATTAGGAGACTGTTACGATCAAGGGCAATTAGGACTGCGTTGACATGTCAGTAAAAGTTAGCATGTAACTGAATTTAAAATTCGTCCCAGGATAAAAAGGGAAATTCAGCTTACAATAAGAGTTCTTCTCAGAAAGTTCTGTGGAGCATTATATTGGAATGGCACAATGAATGACTATTTTAAATTTATATGCCATAGAAAAATTTTTATGGCTCTAAGCCTGGAAGAGTATAACAACATAATGTTTTTCAGTGAAGAAAATTCTCAATTCTAGCAAGGGAAGAGTTTTCATGAAATTAAAGAAAACTGGGCCTCCCCGGTGGCGCAGCGGTTGAGCACTGGGTTGCGAAGCTGCCCGCAGCCTCTGTGGCGCCGGTTCGATCCCCGGCTGCTCCCCGGCCACTGGAGGAGGGTCCCACATGGCGCGCAGACCTCTCCTGCCGCCCGCTGCTCCCCTCAGCAGTGTACTTCAGTCCTTCTGCCTGCTCTGCTCCCCGCTCTGGCTCTGGTGAATTCTCTCACCCTCCCGCGCTTCTGACTGTACCCAGTGCATGTATAAACAAAACAAACAAACAAATAAATAAATAAATAAAGCATGCCTCTATTAAAAAAAAAAAAAATTAAAAAAAAAAAAAAGAAATTAAAGAAAACTATTATATATGAATTAAAATTACTGGTATTTGTCTGGAATACTTAGAAAGCCTGTATTGTATAATTTATGTTTGCTTTACCTTATATAAAAATACCTACTTAATTTTTTTGCATTGTTTACATAGTAGAAGTATTTTTTATTTTAAATACTGTATGTACCTTAAAGGATTTGCAATTATAGTCATTTCTTTAAGCAGATGTCTACTGCATCTGTAATATATATTACACTGCTAGTTTTCAGAGTGGTATAGTACAGTATGCTTAAAAA